GCATCAGAACCAGGCATGGCCGAGTTGTTGGAATTATCATGCCAGGAATTTGAAACAGCTATGATTGATGTACTAAGAGCGCTAATGGATCAAGTAAACAGCATGCAAGAACAGATGGGCAATATTAACGATAGAAACACTAAGAAAGAACAGAAAGAAACACTAGAGATTAAAAAAAAAAACCACACACACTGTAATAGAAATCAAGAATGGGCTTGGTTTTGATGAGCTTACTAGTAGACTGGACACAGCTGAGGAAAGAATCCTGAGCTTGAGAGTACCTCAGAAGAAACTTTCAAAACTAAAAATCGAAGAGAACAAAGACAATAAACTAGAACGGAATATCCAAGGACTGTGAGACAGCTACCAAAAGTGTAACAGATGCATCGTAGGCAGACCAGAAGGAAAGAAAGAGAGAAAGGAACAGAAGAAGTATTTGAAATAACAATGACTGAAAATGTTCCCCAAATTAATGTCGGAAACCAAACCACAAATCCAGGAAGCCCAGAGAACACCAAGCACAAAAATTCCTCAAAAGCTTCACCTAGACACATTGTTTTCCAAACTACAAAAATCAAAGATAAAGAAAAAATCCTAAAAGACACCAGAAAAAAAAAAAAAAAGACAAGAGTGGGGCACCTGGGTGGCTTAGTCAGTTGAGCATCGGACTCGTGATTTCGGCTCAGGTCGTGATATGAGGGTCATGAGATCGAGCCCTGTGTCAGGCTCTGCACTCAGCTCGGAGTCTTCTTGTCCCTCTCTCTCTGCTCCTCCCCCCACCTCAAGTGCACTGTCTCACTCTCTCTCAAATAAATAAATAAAATCTTTTTAAAAAATCCAAAGGAAGCAGACGAAAAGATACTCAGAATTAGAGCAGAAATCAATGAAATTGAAAATAGGAAATCAGTAGAGAAAATCAATGAAATCAAAAGCTGGTTCTTGGAGAGCTGTGTGGATTCTAACGCAAGTACCCATTGTAGAGGATACAGAGGTGAGCCCACAGACTGGAGGAAGGGTATGCAGGCCTGAGTTCCAGCTTATTCAGCAGAATAAACTGGGAAGGGCTGCCGGAAAGGATGGCTGATGACCAGAGTCTGTTGTTGAGACTCAGTATCCCGGGTTGTACTGATGTTGGGTTCATGTACCAGTGCAACTGAGCCCCCCGTCCAGGTCTATGAACAAGACACCACCACCGTGGGACAGGAGATGGAGATGCGTGTGAACTTTCCCATTTCATCCATCTTGGGAGCAGTCAACCCTTGTCAAGAAAAACCTGGAAGGTGGGCCCTCAAGGGGCTAAGAGAGAACCTCCCCGCTCTTGCTGTATTCTTGGCCTGGGGCACCTCCTAGTGACGGGTGTGGAGAACACAAGGAGGAGACCGGGGGAAGGATATCAAGGTCACGTCCCGGCCAAGGAGCTCTGAATGGTGACACCCAGAAGTCTTATAAGTTACCTTCCCTATGGAGAACGTTTTCTTGTTTTCCCCTTTATCCTCAAATTTTCAGCAAGATCTTGCTGAAAATTACAGCCTGGTTCCGGTAGCATTGTGGAGACGTTGGCAAGGACATGCCCGTAAGTGCAGGGTGGTGGTGGCGGCAGTTACCAGTGAAGGCAAGCTGGCCCGCAGCACTTGCCAACCTCCTGGGAGTTATTGGCAACTCCACTAGAGACCAACGGCCCGGTGAGGAGAGCGGGGTGAAAGAGCCTTAGGGGCGTGTTCTAGCGTATCTGAGAAATCGCATCTTAGGGACTATGGCATGCCGCCAAGTGCATTACTGGTCATGACATTGTGATCTTCACCTGCTTTCTGGCTGCTCCTTCTCACATTGCTTCACTTGTTCTTCTTCTCTTTCCCCACTCCTGGAGTGTGGACATTTTGTAGGTTCTGCCTTCATCTCTCCTCATTCTACGCTCTCGTCCTTGATAACAGCACTTCTTCCCAGGGTTTCAACCATCACCCCAGCCTATGTCCCTAGGCCAAGCTCCAGCTCTCAGAGGCCACCTGATCGGGAATATCTTCACCCAAATGACCTGCAAGCATCTCAAACCCAATGTGTCCAGACTCATGGTCACCCTCCCTCTTTTTGACCCCTACATCTAATTCATTTCCCAATCTGTTAAGTCTACCCCTGAACTACAGTTCATATTTAACCTCACGATTCCATTATGGGTCTTCTCACTCAAAAACTTAGCTGGCCTCTGAGGGGATGACTGAAGTCACCTTTGGATCAGTCAGTCTAGTACGCATCCAATCTACCCTGCGTGAAGGTGCCAGGGTTAGCGTCCTAAAGCGTATACTGCAGACTATCACGTCTGCCCCTTCTCTGAAAACAACTAAAGCCTGTTGTACACCCTCCTGCCCCCATGCTCAGTGGGCCAAACTCATTTGAACTCTCCAGCCCTACACCATTCTACCACTTGGTTCAGTCATCCTCCGAGTTACACATCCTCCACACCATTTTTCCAAACTTGGTCACATTAACTCTTCCTGTCCCCACACTCAAGGTGGGGACGAGGCATTTACCATAGGCCACTTGATATTCCAGGCACTTATGGGAGAGTCGGGACCCCCATCAGCCCAAGGTCACACAGAACACCTAACACAGAAGGCAGCATGACATCACACCGAACACCTAACCAAAGGGTCACAGAGGATTGGCTGTCTCATCTCCCACAGGGCAACTGCGGGAAAAATGCAGGGACAAAGGAGCACTGCTAGAGAGGGGAGGGGAAGAATCGACCCACCGTACTTGTGCAACCATCCAGAACTAAGACAAAGGGAGAACAGGGCCTAGAACAGGGCCTGGTGCAGGGCAGGCACTCAGGAAGAGTATTTGGTGAATGAAGAAACATGGACATATTTGATCATTTATTGGCACATTCATTCATTTACTGAGCATCTACTCTGTACCCTACTATCGCTCTCATCACAAATACGCATTCTAGACTCTGAGAAGCATCAGACTGTCTGCATGGACAGGAGGTCATGTGGGAAAGGAACTGTTCACTGTGTGCATCTGGCTAGATGGCCAGTGGCTTCTTACCTAGACAATAATCACATTGCTTCTGCGTGATCTCCTACAGCTTCTACTTTACAGAGCACCTCATTTATATTCTCTTTTTTGATCCTCATAACAAATTATACATGTCAGTACCACTCACAGACTCCATCAGTGACCGCTGATTGCAGTAAGGATAAAATAGAAGCTCTTAGCAAGGGTCTGGTTCATTCACACAAGAATGTATTTGCCTCCCGTGTGCCAGACACTGTTCTAGGTACTGGGAATACAAAAGTGGGCAGAGAGCTGCCTGCCCTCATGGTGCCTACCTTCCAGTGACTGACCATACTCCTGGTGATGTGGTCTCCACCCGCCCGCTCCTCCTCTTTCCACCCCAGCCACATAGAACCCCAGGCAGTTTTCTGAACATGCCCTGCTAAGAAAATGTCACACCACACAAGGTCACCCACTGTCTCTCCTCTTTGGAACACCTTCCTCCCTTCTCCATCTGGCTACTTCCTTCTGGGCTGTCCAGCCTCAGCAGGTCCAGGTATCACTCCTTAGGAAGCTTTGTCCATCGCGCTCCCTCACCATGTCTAGCACGCCCACACGCGTGTCCTTTCCAGCCCTGAGGAAAGGTTATTTGTGGAGAGGTTAATTGGTGGTTACGGTTTTCCCTTGAATAGGTGTTATTTTCTTTCTTTTGGTCAATATCCGTCATCTTGGCCACCCTGCATTTGTTCCCCTACTGATCTTCACTAGGGGTCCTTACTCTCCCCTGGGAGTCCCAGGAGGGTCTGACTCCACAGATAATCCAGGTGTGGAGAGCAGAGCCTCTGCCTGAGAACTACACCAATCCACACGAATCCCATTCCCTTGGATGCAGCAATTGGTTTAGAGAAGAGCATCTGATCCAAGTTGGTCAGGTTGATCTTAAAAATAGGAGCCATTAAAAATGTGCCCCCTGCTGCACACACATACTCAATGTTTGTTTGACAGTGAGGTTGATTTTAAATGCTGGGGATTAACCAAGGCTGAAGGAGAAACTTTAGATGCCTTGGTAATTGCTGAGTTAAGTAAAAGGCACAGAAACTTCCTAGGTTGTAAGAATTAAAGTAATCAATGTAATAACACTTAGTTTAGGTCATAACAGATAATAATAGCTAAAATTGCATTCTGGGCACTGTCTTAAGCACGTGAAGCATTACGTCATTTCGTGTGGATAACAACCCACACTATAGAAAGATGTTAATATTACCTCCATTGTGCCTAATGAAGGAATCAAGGCTAAGCCAGGCAGCTACTGGGTACAAGGCTCAACGGCCACAGAACACTCCACGGGAGATGACACATTACGGTAGTGATCATGACTGTGTGTGGCTCAAATGGGATGCTTACAGAAGAAGGCTTTCATATCCAGGTTCTCTTTTTAAAGGCATTCTAACCATCTAACTTGATTTGGGGAAAAATTGACAGTGATCCAAGCTGCTTAAACATTAAGTCAATAGGAAAAAATAAATGAAGTCAACAGGACTACAAAATTAACAATCCCAACCATAATTACAACTTCAGCTTCCTTGGGTCAGATGGAAAGAGCTTATACTATTCCCAAACCCCAAAGCGTGGGCAAAGTATTTGCACACAGTTTTAAAGGACAATCTGAGAAATGTGGTGTCGTTGGATTCTACCGCAAACCACTCGCATAAGCTACAAGCTCATGGAGAATGAACTCCATCATCTGTCAGATGAGGGGATTTTATTAGATCAGTGACTCTCAACCCTGACACGACTTATTTGAGTCATCCAAGGCACCCCTGGAGATGCTGGTCTAACTGGCCCGGGGTGCAAGCGTGGCACGGGAATTTTTGCAAGCTCCCCAGGATTCTGATGTGCAAGCAAGGCTGAGAACCACTGCATTCAATCATCCAAAGGCCCATGTCAGCGGTAAAATCACACAGTTCCATGTGTGTCTACAAAGATCAGAGGCAAAACCAGAATACCTGAAGCAGGATCTTATTGCCATCGTAGTCCTGCGTCTGCCACCTGGTGCGGCTGATGGGGACGCACGGGTGGGGTAGAAGGGGCACTAACTGGCCGATCTCTTGAACCTTGAACTGCAGCACAGAAGATTCTTTGGGGTCCACTGACATTCCAAGGGGCAGCTGCGCCAGGGAGAACTGCAGAGCGAAGCTCTCAGTGGCATAGAGCACGAAGACACAGAAGTTGCTTTTCTGCACGGTGGCTTCCTTCTGCAGGATCAACTCATAGAGTCTGATGGCATCCTCGTAGTTATCAAAACTGCAGTAGAGTGTCACCCTCAGGACCTCGGAGCCACAGTGCACCTGCCTCACACCCCAGACGGGCATCTGGCTGTCCACACTGTAGAACTCCTGGTTGGCAAGGATGTAGGGACACGGCCCCCCCTGAGCATTCGGGGCAGGGTAACAGTGCCACGGCCAGTGCTGGAGGGAGTCAAGAACCCGAAAGAGCCGCTCCTCTCCCAGGCTCTCGTGCAGGAAGAGCAACACAGACATCCCCGGGAACCGTGAGCGCTTGGAGTGGCACTTGTCATAGGATTTCACTGGACTGACCCGCTCTGACACCAGAAAGGGATGCACGTCTGGGCAAATGCAGTCCAGGAGCTGATCCAGAGTTTGCTGCAGAAGCGAGCCATGCCCAGAGTTGGCGAGCAGGTGGACAGTCATGGCCAGAGGCTCCGGTGTCCCGTCCATTCCGGACTGCCCGAGGAGTACAAAGGAAGCAGGCGTGGAGGGTCCACCGGTCAAGCTTCTGCAGCGAAGGAAGAAGCGGGCGGTTTTCCCGCGGAGTCTTCAGCCCACCAGGAAACCTGCAGCCACTTCAGAGCAAAGCTCCTAACCTGGGCCCCTGGTTGCCAGCAGCCGCACAGCCTGACCATCCACACAAACTGGGGCACAACAGCCTTGGGGTCAATGTCATCCAGCTCATGCACAATGTAACTGCGCCCTGGACTTGTCCAGGCACTCCCCGGGGTTTCTGTTTGACCTAAAAACCTATAATCCTGAGAAACACCCAAGTGGGTGGTTCTTACGGTCACTCAGTAAAGGAAATGACCAGGCAAAGAGGAACATGAGTCGGCTCTGTTAGGCTGATAGCAATCTGTTTAGTTGAAAAGCCATCCATTTTATGGGCCCACAATGGGTTCTGATTTCCTCCTTACATCTCTCCATGTTTACAGTAGGCTGCCAGGCCACCTGAATACAATGACTGCTTTCAAACAATTCTCGAAACTTGTCCCCTTGCCAGAATTTTTTTCCCCCTTTGTCTTTTTATTTTGTTACCGGACAACTGATGCTATGGCATTGAAAAGAAGATACTGTATCTAAATAATACTGAGTGTTCACTGAAAATTATTTGCTCTGATGCAAAGACTGAGTGTATGTACTGAAATGTTGCAAAAAAATAAAAAAAGATGTTGCAAAAAAAAAAAAAAAGCCCCCCTTTACTCATGCTGGTTCTCTAGGAAGAGTGAGAGCTTCCCAACAGGGGCAGTGTGACCGCTCAGATCTATCTACTAGGCACCAGGCGTAAACCGTTCTAAAACTCTACATAAATGGATTTAATCCTGCAGCAAACCTCTGAAGAAAAGACTATTTATCCCCAGATGACTGATGAATGACCTAAGGCTAAGTAACAGAAAAGCTAAGTAACTTGCCTAAGGTCTCACAGCTAAAAAGTGGCTGAGGGAAGATGTGCACCCAGGAACTGAGAGGTGCCCCAGAGAAGTAAAGATGAGGTGCTTCTCAAGGACCTGGAAGTCTGGGTCTTCTTCCTTAGGATAGGGAAAGGACACCAAAGTAAATCCTCGTTGAGGACATGTATTTATCCCAGAGACTCGGCGTGCTGTTGAATCATAAAATGAATAATCTTCAATAAGAATATTCAAGCTCTAAACATAACACCCACCCTAATGTGTTCTGAGTATCCTTTTGAAAATCATTTGCTATTGGGAGAGCTGTGCTCCTGAAAGGTGTGGGCAAGCACATTTTTCTAAACAGAATTCTTAAAATAAGCTACTTACGAATGCTTATAAATGGAACACGTTGTGACAATCTTTTATAATTTAGAAAGCACTTTTGTGATTTTAAATATAACTTACCTTAACTTTTGCTTTATGTAGGCAGATTCCCTTAAAAGTTTAATAACCAAATTTGAAGTCAAATATTGTTATCTATGAAAAGGAATCATTTCTATTCAGATTCCTTTTCTAAATCAAACCTACACTTCCAGTCATTCGAGGTTCATAAATCCTATGCTTTTTGCATTGGAAAAATGTATAAATATAGTTGATAACAGATGAATTGTTTTTTAATTATCATAGTAATTAAATTCATTTGGCTTCCACTTTCCAAAAATCATTAGTTTTTTTTTAAGGCATTATAGTGCTCAATCTTTAAAAAAAAAAACAATAACAACTCTTAATTCATGTTACACAATAGCATTTGTAGGCAATAACTTTCTCATCTCTCAGTAGGACACCCTCCCCTTTTCTCTCTCCTTCCACTCAGGGAGCTGACTGTACTCGGGCACTTTAGACTTTAGACATGGTTTCCGAAATATCCTTTGCAATTCTGGAAATAACTCTAAAGATTCAAGGAGGAAAAACATACCCATGAGACAAAGATATTAACTCATAACATTTTGCACAAGGCAAGTATTGAAGCCCATATATAGGAACAGGGTTTGCTTCTTCGTGTTGTTTTAATCTTTTATCCAGTGTGAAAACATACTTTTTCCCTCTTGAGGTTGTCATTTCTGTCAGGACTGGAAAGATTTCATTAATCTGAAGGCAGCCAAAGTGCCAAGAAACACAGGGGGTACCATGAGTCTCCTTTCTGACTGGTTGCCTTTGCAATTATTTTTACGGGAACAACCTGAAATACTGACCCTCAGAGTAGCTGCCTCCCTCCTCCTCACTGCCTGCCACCCACCATAATGGCCAGATTCTCAGCTCGGCTTTATTCCACTGTGCTCTTTCTTCTTGCAAGCTGCCTCTGCGGAAGGCACAGATGAATGTATGAAGGGAAATCATCAGCTTTGAGTCCCAGGACCTGGACAGCTGACACTTGGCTCTCTACCTTACTTTTCTTAAACTTGGGAAAGATGCCGGGGTATCTGTCAGTCACCAACCCCTGGACGGCAGCCAGGTGGTCAACTCCTCCTGGCAAAGTGGAGGAACTAGTGACAGGTAGTACAAAGAAAGGTAAGAAATCAGCTAGTTATGAGGACTTGTTGGAGCCCGAGGAGAGCCACCGGGATCTGTACCTGCTGTAAGCCACATAAATACATGGGATACATTAAAACTCTGACACCCCACTGCCACTCCGAGAAAGCTTTGAGAAAGTTTCTTTCTCTCTTTAACTTAGAAAATGTGTTTATTTATCCCACATATTGAGAGCCAGGCACTGCGCCAGGAGCACAGAGGAGAGCATCACCGGGTCCCACTTTGGAGGAGCACCTAAACTAATGGCATCAGCCTCCAGGGAGAGGAGGAGACGCTTCTGGAAAGAAGGAGCCAGGCAGCTGAGGAGACTCGGTTGGGGGAGGGGGAGGGGTTCCAAGGAGAGGAAGTAGCTGGGGACAGGCCATGCCTGGAGAAGAGTGTAGGGATCGTGACCCAGTGGCCAAACAGCAAGCAGTTCAAGACTGCTGGAGGGTGGGGACAGAGAAGGGGGAAGGTGGCAAGAGGCTGGAGAGGCAGCCAGGCCTCGCGGGTCACCCCAAAGGGTTTGGGGTTTTTCTGATGGGAACAGAACCACGAAGACGTTGACTTGAAAAAAAGAGGCAGTGCTTTGGGGAACACATGGACAGCAGCGATAGATAGAAAGTCAACGTCAGCGAACGGCTTGTTGGTTGGCTGTGGGCAGAAAGCGGCAGGGATGGGTCCAGGCAGCCTCCCAGGGTGCCAAGGTGAGGCAACTCATCCCCAGATAAGGGACCCCGGAGAAAGAGAGCAGTTGGGAGGGAGGACGGGGAGCGCAGATGGGACGTGGTGGGCGTACATGCCGGTGGGACATCGGAGTGGAGATGCGAGTGGCCAGATAGCCTGCAGGGCTGCAGACCAGAGAAGATGGGTTGGGGACCGTTGGTCTTTGGGTAACATGGGGAGGCAAGTGGCGACCCGGTGGAGAACACGTGATAAGGAGAGGACAGGTAAGAAGAAGGGACTCCGGGGTGCCCAGTGTCAGGAACGAGCAGCATGTCCGTGGCATCCGGGGAGAAGTGGAGAGCGAGTGTGTTGTCTGAACCCTGTATGGGTGTCTGAGGTTGCACATTTCAGGAAGTGCCACCAGCTAGAAAAACACCATAACTCCAAGTTTCAGAATCATGCTCCCTTCTGGACTAAGCAAATTCCGAAGAAGCACCAAGCAGACCTCAGAGCCGTTCAAACCTGTTTCCCTTGTTCCCCAAACAACCTTAACTCTGATTCCTTGTGTGATACTCAGCTCTAACCAGAGGCCAGCATTGCAGAGCCCGAGGCAGTAAATGGAGACAGGTGCCGATGAAGGGCCAAGGGCCGTGCCATGCTCATCCTTTAACCCCTGATGGCAACCCACAGCCCTGTTCCTGCAGAGGAGAAGGCACTGGATAGATCTGAAGTGAAGGAGGAATCTGGAGTCTCTGAAGGAATAAGGATCCCAGGGAGCTTAAGGGACTGTCCAGCTGGTTAGAGGCAGAGCCCAGGTTTCTGGTTTTTAAACTACACTTCCCCACCTCTCCTAAGAGGAGCCATGCACAGCAGCATTCATCACCTGTGTCTATTCAGATAAGGGCCATTCAAGTTCACGACACACAGCCGGCACAAAACAAGGGAAAAGGAAGGCAGGAGGAATGAGCATTACTGGTTAACACATGTTTCCCCATCATAGACATTCCTGCCCCAGTGCCATTCCTGTAGTTGGCTTTCACCATCCTGGCCCTTTTCCCGACACACACACACGCACACACACACAAAAGCACGTGCACACAGAGATGCACTCGCGCGCGTGCACACACACACAAGCACATGCACACACAGATGGACATGCGCGCGCACATATGTGCGCACACACCACACACACAGAGATGCCCACACACAGACATGCATACACACACACACACACACACACACACACACACACACACACACACACTCGGCTGGCAAACAACAGAGATCTATGCACTCCCACCCCCTCTGGCCTCCCCTAGGGCAGAGGAGGGAGGGAGGAAGTGGCCACGGCAAGCCCCTTCTCCAAGCAGTTGTGCCCCATAGCCGAGAGCCTCTTTCCTAGTTCCCCAGAGGCTACCCCCTTGTCCAACCCAGAACAATGCTATCAGGTTCCTATTAAATTGCCATCTGTTTCCCCCCTTTTCCAGGACAATGCAGCCCCGCAGCAGCCTGTGAGCTGACACCCTGCATTTTCCCAGGTGCAGTAAAGAAGGCGTGTTTCCTCCTTGTTCTTTGTTGTGGTCTGTGGCTGTGACATCATCTCCCATGCTCTGACCAGTTAATACTGGTTCGTGGCTGAACCAACTCAGCAACTGGGTAAGGAGACAGAGAAGCTGAGTGGAGGAGCCATGTGCCAGAGACCGGGCGGCTCCACCTGTCTCTGCTGCTCGCCCCACCAGGACCTGGAGATTCCGAATCCCTCAGGTTTGGTCTCATCATCTCCGCTGAAAATAAAAAGTAGCAACGGTAGTAACTGACTTGACT